CGGGTGGTCAGGCTCGCTGACTTGGTTGATGCATGTCATCGATCCCAAATGCGTGGATCGAAGATCATGGTGTCAATCCCGGGATTGTCTGGTCCAAGCGCGATTATTTACAGACCGCCGTCATATACCTGGAATATTGCTGAGTGCGGCGTTAACGAACAAACAAACAAACAAACAAATCTATAAATTTATGTTCACAAAAGGCCCGTAAGGTGGGATGTCTGGATAAACGGGGTTTCACTGTTCATGTTGTGGCCCAACACTACTACTTCTACGACTGGACCCACGTTAACAAAGCGACTATCTAAACATATATTACACGTGTTGTACCTATACGATTGTTTTGTACATCTTTGGTACTTTGTTGTATGAATCCTGAATACAAGTGACAGAAATAGACTTTACCCTACGTTACAAGGGTAAACATTCATTGTCCCGATTCCATTGTGTACCTGGCAAACAAACTGGTTTCTGAGTGACCCCCCGTAGTCAGAGTCGTGTGACATAATCTACACAATATACGCGAGTAATCAAGCTGCAGTACTCAAACATCGTATAGAGGAAAGTGATCTGCAAGAGAAACAAGGGTCGAGTCATCACAATGGCAAGCGCCTCAAGGAATGAGGATGGTGTGTTGGGCGTTAACTTTACCATCCCTGAAGCACATGTAACACATATAGTGTCTTCTTAGGGAAGTGACTTTGTTCAAATATGCCTCTGTTGACTTGTGAATGGATACCCAGTCGGATGAGACGGGAATGTCACTGTTAACCCCTCACATGAAGCTTGGGGTGTGTATTCCCCATATAGCCAAATATGAAAATCGAGTGAGGTGAGGTGAAATGGGTTTAACGTCGCGTCAAAGATTATTGCACTTATATAGCGACGTGCATGCACGATGTATGTGTGTGGTTGCTTGTACTAGTCCGGACTGATGCCGATTTATAGTGCTAGCTCACTGAGATACCATGCCGCAGTTTAACACGAATACTCCACTCAGACACAGTATACTGACTCCGAGCCGACGAGTCCTGGTATCTAATGCCGAGCACCAGACAGGGTAACAAAAAGTACCATCTTTTAACGTCTTTTGGTATGAAGCGATCGGGCGGACGCTCTACCATTAGACAAAGGAGGCGGTAAAATCGAGTGAACGCTAATCAGTTGAGGTAATAATGTAGCTCTTTGAGTATGCTTTAGGGTGTAGATTTGGCGCATAATAAATATGCACATTACAGTACACATACTACTCAAATACATCAGGCGTGCATCTCTTTTCTTGTTCCTTTAGAGTATGATCTGACCCCTGAAGATCCGGTATAGACTAAGTCTTCAGCAACCCATGCTTGCCGTTTAAGGCGACTAAGGGGATCGGGTGCTCTGACTCGCTGACTTGGTTGATGCATGTGGTCGCATCCTAATTGCGTGGATCGATGCTCATGATGTCATTCACTGGATTGTCTGGTCCAGACTCGATTATTTAAAGACCGCCGTCATATAGCTGGAAAAATCGCTGAGTGCGGCGTTAAACAACAAACATCATCACATCCTTTTAAGGAAGATTGATGAGCTGTCAATATACTGTGAACAAATCATTCATCGCTATTTCGTTGAAGTATTTTCTTAACGACAAAAGCACTTGTTTTAACAAGGAAGGAAAAAAAAAAGGAAATTATCGACAGCAGATTTTCAAATATTTCCGCACGTTTAATGTGACAGAGTAAAACCTGTAGAGAAAATTGAAATGTTTATTTGTCTTCATTCAAAACTACTTTATTTTTACCTTTTTCATTTATGATGTGTTCAGTTTAAACACTGAACGTCCTGAATGAACCGATGACCCAACTATAGCCACATGTTTACCTCCCTGGTTGAGCCGTTTATGTTTATTTGTTGTTAAACGCCGCATTCAGCTATATTCCAGCTATATGAGGCGGTCAGTAAATAATCGATTTTAGACCAGACAATCCAGTGATTGATATCATGAGCATCTATCAATGCAATGGGTACGATGACATGCATCAACAAAGTCAACGAGCCTGACCACCCGATCCAGTTTGTCGCCTCTTACGACAAGCAGAATCGTCTCTTATGACAAGCAGGGGTTGCTGAAGACCTATTCTCACCCGACTATTCACGGGTCTCCCGGTTAAGCCAATGTTCGTACAGACTTGGTACATGGACATGACTGCGAGTTGTGTACATTGCACTCAGATTTGTAGGGGTAGGGGATCAGGGTGGTGAAGGGGGGTCGCGGCTGGGGTTAGGGTAGGGTGGCTATGACAGTGAGCGAGTGACAGGGTAAGGTGGGTTTAACGACAACTTCAGTTCTATACTGAGGCACTGTGGAAACGGATATTCGAGTTTTTGTGGTCACACAAATTAAGTTGTTCTGGGTATTTAGACATGAGATAATCAAGCACAACGATGTCGACTCACGGGTTCGAATCTCATTCGATGTGTTTGTAGATGGACTTGAGCCAAAAAACAACAACATAATTTTTAATTTCAATTAAAGTTAATTTTGCGTTTTCACAGGGATTTCCCTGGGTACGACCAATGTCCGAGCTAAACGTTACTCTCAGAGTCATTATGACCGCACCCCTAAGTGTAACACTTACCTAAGAATTTTCTTAGCGAGTTAAGAGTACAGTAACCTACGTTTATAACGAACTCACTTATAACGAACTGACGGATATAACGAACTTACTTTTTTGTCCCGACTATTTTCTGTAGTTATGCTGTATATATGCTTTTAACGAACAACGGTTATAACGAACTAAAATTAGTGGCCTCTTTGAGTTCGTTATAACCGTAGTTTACTGTATTCTTAAGAATATTCTAATAATGTTTAGGAATACCGCCCCTGCTATCTACATTACTGTGGGAGGAAATCCCGAGCGATGCAGGTCTCAGACGTCTACCGCTATGGTAAACCCCGGGAAGGGGCACAGGCATGGTACTGACAAGAAGTGTAGTGCTTGGTCGAACTAGCGATGCATTGCAACTGCCCATGGTCTAATGGCAATACATTAATGTCAAAAGTCAACTTTGGCCCATTTGGTAATCAGCGGTAGAGGAGGGTACAGGAACATTTCCAACTAATGCTGTATTTATACATATATCTCAATAGTATCGCGTTACTCATTTTAGTATGGCGTTGTCTTACTCATACACCTATATGTTTAATGTTTAGGAGCTTCATTAGTCATTCCTTAATTAGCAGGCGCTCAATTGTTTTGTTTTTAATAAATAATAATAAGGAAGTGTAATATTTAATTGACACATTATCCCAACCCATGACACACAATTCGAGGAATATGTATTTTTCCAGTGCACGTGGGCTTCATGATGAGCGAGTTAAAATTTAACGTTGCATCGGCATTATTTCAGTCATATTGCGACGAGTGGTTCGATTTGAAAATAAATGTTGAAAATCAAATGGTTGCTCTCACAGGTTCTACTTCGGGATAGACCCGTGAAGATCCTGGGTAGAATAGGTCTTCAGCAACCCAAGCTTGCCGTTAAAAGGCGACTATGCTTGTCGTAAAAGACGACTAACGGGATCGGGTGGTCAGACTCGATGACATGGTTGATGCATGTCATCGATCCCAATTGCGTTGATCGATGCTAATGATGTCATTCACTGGATTGTCTGGCCCAGACTCGATTATTTACAGACCGCCGTCAAAAAGCTGGAATACTGCTGAGTGCGGCGTTAAACAACAAACAATCAATCAATGATGATGTCAATCACTGGATTGTCTAGTCCAGACTTGATTATTTAAAGACCTCCAGGGGCGGTCGGGTAGCCCAGTGGTTAAAGCGTTCGCTCGTCACGCCGAAGACCCGGATCGATTCCCGACATGGGTACAATGTTTGAAACCCATTTCTGGTGTCCCCCGCCGTGATATTGCTGGAATATTGCTAAAAGCGGCGTAAAACCATACTAATTCAATTAATTACAGACCTCCGTCATATAGCTGGAATATTGTTGAGTGCGGCGTTAAACAACAAACAAACATACAAACAAACAAACTTCGGGATATATTCTGGACATGGGGAACACACGAAAACAAACATTATCAGTACTTCATCCTCCATCACCCATAAATACACACGGCAACGGGGGCACAATCGTCTAATCGCGATTGCTGTGTGGAGTTGCTTCCCTTGAACACGCCAGAAACCTGTGATCGTAGGTTTGTCAGTACAATACCCCTACTCGTGGGTTTCACCAAAGTTGTAAATGTCGGAGACCTGCATCACTTCGGACTTTCCTCTCACATTGAGCTGCCTCAAATCGGCGTTAAACCCAACTCTCTCACTCACTCACAAATGGCGGCGTTTGGCGTAAACGTATTCCGTGTCTGTTAAGTGTACTGGTGCAATGGGACCATTCATATATCAAAGGGGTCAAATGAGCACGTGCAAACTCTACCATAGCCGGAAAACGACGCAATAACTGCGACAGATGCCCAGTATAGCACATCTTACATGAAAATATTATCGCTCATTGATCTGAGGACAGGGGGCCAGGTGGCCCAGTCGTCTAAAAGCGCCGCGATTCGGTGTGCAGAGTTGCGTCCCTTGGGCACGCCAGAAACCTATGATTGTGGATTCGAATCTCGGTTCGCCCCGATTATGTTTCTAGGTATGTCAGCACCATACCCGGGCTCGTGGGTTTCACCGAAGTGGTAAACGTCTGTGACCTGCATCACCTCGGGCTTTCCTCCCACATTAAGCTGACACGCCGTGATATAACTGGAATACTGTTAAAAGCGGCGTTAAACCCAACTTACTAGCTCTGAAGACATCTGATCTGGTTTCCTCCTGGCTTGAATCAGTCCTGATTCGCTGGTTTAAAATAGCGACCCAAACACGTATCGGTCGAATGTCTTCACGGGCGATGTTGGAACGTGGTGAAAACAACCCGTGAAATACGTACAGAAAAGAAACAGTTATTTCATTGTTAACCTGCAATCAACTTTTCATTACAGATCCGCCTCGAATCACGGCTCTCCGTTTTTCCACAACGCACGGGCAGAATGTTGAACTCGAACAGCACGGGAAAAGTGCGCAATGGAACCTCAGCTGTCACTGTGGCACGTGCTGCACGAGCCGCTCCCTCCAGAAAGGCGAGAAATTGACCTTCAAACTCTCAGGCAGTGGACATGTCCTTCTGGGCCTCCTGTCTTTCAAACCCGACGCTGCTAATTTTCAGAATATGGAAATAACAAAGGTCGAAAGAAACGCCCACTGGACCCAATTCCGTTTCAAGAAGGAAACGACTGGAATTACCCTGTCTCGCTCAAAGACGCGAGAGGTCACGTTTTCTCGCGAGATAAAGGACAAGACGGAAACACATACCTGCGGCGTTGCCGGACAGGATCTGTTTGTTTTCTTCGCAATAGAGTTCGGTGACATTGTTATTGATATGACATCAGGTAAGGAATTTTTTAAAATAACACTATATATTTTCAGGCCAAGCTTCTTCAGGACATCTAGCATGCCCAGGAACATTTTTGTGGAGTAAAACATGAGGCAACATGATTTTTACAGTATTTTCTGAAACAAATGCATTTTTTCAAAACAATCCCTGCGCACCTATTCTAACCCATCCTCCCGAGGCAAGAGAGTTAACTGACTTTAAAAGTTTCAACCCTTGCCGAACTAGGCTGGAATTCCTGGGCACGATCGTAGCGCCACCAGTGGCTATTTAGAGGATAACCCACGAGATACGGGTGATTACGGAAAATATGGCCCGAGTGAAATTAACGTTCTCAGTTCCGAGCTTTAGCGAGGAACTGAGAACGTTAATTTCACGAGGGCCATATTTTCCGTAATCACCCGTATCGAGTGGGTTATTCTAATTATTACCCATACTCAATTTTGATCATTTACGTTGTTAAAATGTGCTGCATCGTGTTGCTATTTAAGCGAGCTCCACCCGGCCATCTCCAATGTATTCATCCGCAGGAAAACAAGCGGCTTTTTACTGCTAGCCGCTTCACTCTTACCAAGTCAAATTCAAACGATATGCTATGTAGTACCAGAAAAAAATGGAGAATTCTCATTAAAAACTGCAAACTCACGACTTTGTTTAACAACAATTTATAACAATTGATAATACATGTTACTGATTAAACTTTTAGTTATCAGACACAAATAAATTTACAAAACAGTCAAAGCTAGGTCAGACCGTTGCAAACAGTCCCGGAAGCAAGAGGTGCCGAGAAATGTACCGATGCTGTTACCGACGAATTTCGCTCAATATGTCAGTATTTTAAACTGTCATCTTCAACAACAATGAAAACTGGCTAAACAAAGTCGCAAAGTCAATAGTTAAAGAACATGTGTGTCACGAAAACAGATGGGAATGTCATACAAGAAGAATCAAGTCAGTCGCAGTGCGAGATGTTTGACCTAGATCTCGACCGAAGTTTCAAAGCGCGCATGGCTGAACTGGGAGCAGGATGTTTACATCTATCATCGATTCTATGCAGAATCTGTCTGGATGTATGATAACCTGGGACTAATCGGAATCAGAATCGGAATGAATGACGTTAATTCTTCGTCGTTTTGGACTTGGTTGTCTGACGGTAGCCCCAGTGTCGTTTGGGGAAATTGTAATGTTAAATACCCCACCATAGATCGGCCCAGCGAAAAGTGTGTGAACTGCTTCACATTTCGTGTCATGTGAAACTCGGTTCTGTTGTGATGTACTTAGTGACACATGGTGGGCTTGTGGCATGTCGTGAGATCTATCAACATGTGATTCAAGAACTTGGGAATTTCGCATGGCTACAGTGGAGTTTGAGGTGCTGGAATGTGCAAGGATGTTGTTAATATTGTGATGCTGGTGCTCATTTATTTTGGAGTAATGATTGATGGACTGGATGTTTTTGTGACCAGACACCTGCATGATCTGATGTGCGGGAACGCCATTGTCAGAGAGAGTTTGAATCATCCTTTTCCTTGCACTGTGATTTGTTAAACGTTTGTCAGCTGACAACCCTGCCCTGACGGCCATCCTTTTCATTATGGAACCCAGCTTATTACGACCAACAGGCTGGCGTTTAAACCATGTGTCTCCAGATTTGACCCCAAATTGTGTGTTGGTTGCAAGGTAAAAGGGGTGATCATCATCACAGTAATTTGCGGGTCGCAGGTCACGGTACCGTTTATAGACAGCTACCGGACAGCACAAATCACCAGGTTGTGCCCATGCCTTAGGGGCAACGTCACGTGCCCCCTCAGCCTGACGTGTTTTCGATTGTCTCTCAATATACTGCAGATACTCATTGTTTTCAGTATCTTTATTGAGAATGACATCGCCCCATTGCATGCGCCTGTGAGGGGTGGCAGAACGCAGACCAAAGTAGATGGTGTTGTTCCACCATAACGTGTTTAAGATTGCATCAGGTGTACTTGTGCCAAGTTGTCCAGGTTCACGGAGTTTATTTAGTTCAATATCTGAAACGGGATCGGCCCGCTGGGGTAAGTTGCCTTTACCTTGCTTTTTCAGGGATTTTTGTTTAGATTTTAAAACTTCTCGAAGTTTAATGAAATGCACGGAGTCTGACAACGAGTGTTTATAGTCATATCTCTTCAGATAACGCTCAACACTGGCCTTTATCCCTTTTATTGTCGATGGTTCGTATTCTGTTCCATCCGACTTTTTGGCGGATATGAAAAACCTGCACAAGAGAATATTGAGTTCACTGGGTGGGATTTCTTCAACTTTCCTTGTTTCTTGAAAACTTTGCTCTAAAAAACTGTGAACAAACTTCAGGTCAAGTTTTGTTTTCTTCATGGTATTTTCATTTTCATTACTTGCCAAAAAGTCATCAATATCAATTTCCTTTATTGCAAAGTTTGTAGAATTGTTTTGTGTGGGGGGATCGAAAAAGTCATCACTCATTAAGTCATCCACGACTGCTTGGGGTAGGCCAAAGGACGGACTAGACGGACGTGACGGTGGTGCATTTGACACAGTTTCGGGTAGTAATCTCAATCGGAATCGGGGAACTTGCATTTCGCCAAACAGAGTCTTCACCACATAGACATTGAAGGTATTAAGTGGTTGAACTATCTGTATTACACGTCCAGTGAGATCGCCATCAATTTTGACCAGGTCACTAACCTTTATCGGTGTCAAGTGGGCAGCCATGTTTGTTTACAAACAAAGCAGACGTATCAAAGTTGTGCATGGAAATTTGATCGATTGTTAAATGATTGTGCATTAAAGAGATGTTACAGTAATACAATATTGGTACTTTGTTTTTATTTGGAAAAAGATACTGTATATTGTTCTAGTCAAAGTCACGCATTTGCGAGAACGACGACAGCATATAATTCATGAATGAAAGAACGTGTGGTTTGTGAATGAAATGTGAAAGCTCAAAAGTAGATCCGGCAATCAGTGTCAGCCAATGAAATAGCGTAGACATTTAACCAGCCAATGAACACCGAGAATCACCAAAATGCACATGTGCAAATATCCAAAAGTTATTACACGAGTTCTTCTTGCCCGTATGGGTAATAATACGAGTTATGTACCTTCCTTGCCTCTCCTATAGACCAATCAGATTCCGCATCTCGTATCACTTGCATTTGCCTCAAACAAAATGGCCGCGCCCGGTCAAGACGATCTAATCGATAATGAAGATCTATATTGTAATGAAACGGGTCTTACATCGCGAAGTGCATCACGCGAGCATCTTGATTTAAAACATGAAAAGATTTGGAAAATATCTGTTGACAAACACATGCTTTGCAAATGCTGCAATCGACCGATATCTGCATGGCAGTTTAAAAATCGGAATTAGATTTCGTTGCGCGAATGTGATTGGACTATGCATATAGACTCGTTAGTCCAGCCCAAAGTAATTCCATAATACCAGCCTAGTTCAGCAAGGGTGGAAACTGGACTTGTATAGTCAGTTAACTCATTTGCTTCGGGAAGATAAATCTAACCCGGTATCAACAACCGGTTGTTTGTCCAATAGCAGCTGACTATGAGTAGTTTGTTTGTTTGTCTGTTTGTTGTGTAACGCCGCACTCAGCAACATTCCAACTATAAGACGGCGGTCTGTAAACAATCGAGTCTGGACCAGACAATCCAGTGATTGACATCATGAGCATCGATCCATGAAACTTAGATACGATGACATGCATCAACCAAGTCAGCGAGCCTGACCACCCGATCGCGTTAGTCGCATCTTGCGGCAAGCATTCTTCACGGATAGAATATAAGTAGTACGTGAGTGGTTGACGACCTGGACATTTCGACTCACAGATGCCACATGGCTGATTTGGAGTAACATCATACATCGGGTTGATGCTTACGCAGTCGACCACTGGATACTGTTACCATGTTTCACTAGCTGGCGCTGCAACAGTATATGCACGTTATATCATTACTGTGATGAACCAATTTGTTTACTAACTCATGCTATTCAGAGACCCACCGCCCCAACTCCACAGGATCAGTCACTCTTCAACCAACCCATCCACTCATTCTCACAAACAGAATCACTCTCACCCACTGATTGGATCTTCGTTCAAACCATGGGACCGCCTCCGTGGTCTAGTGGTAGAGCGTCCGCCCGGAGAGCGGAAGGTCCAGGATTCGATACCCGGGCGCGTCATACCAAAAGACGCTAAAAGATGGTACTTGTTGTTACCCTGTCTGGCGCTCGGCTTAAGGGGTTAAAACAATGACTGGTCGGCTCGGAGTCCGTATACTGTGTCTCAATCTCATTTAAATCAGATCTTAGTTCTCGCTATCGCTTAACAAAGATCTGAGGACATCCCATTACGGGTCAGAACGACCTTTCACCTGCCCCATCAAAGCGTCGCTTACCAGATCATGAAAGAGACTGTCGAAATGTGTTTTCTAATCATGCAGCCTCCAAAACGTTAACACGGGGTATTCCGAACGACAGTTACGGATCGTACGACTGATTCCGTCAAAATTATCTCTCATTTCCGTGGGATAAACGTTTGAACGGAGGAGGCGTTGCACAGTTGGTGGGAAGCACTGTCATACAATCTCAACCATATATTAGACATTCCGGAATGTTCGTTTGTTCAGTTTTCAAAATTTATATCGAGAACTGTGTCAACATATTTTTCAAGCGTAATCTGAAATGGAAGTCGGCAGGTTGAAACGAGTGCCATAACGCTTGAGAAATCTGCTTTTCAATTGGCTGATGTCGACTTCTTGTTTGTCATTTCAGTGGTCGGTCAACGTTCGCGAAAGGTCGTTCTGACGTGACCCGTAATGAGTTCTCCTCAGATCTTTGTTTTGATCTGATTTTAATGAGATTGACTGTGTCTGAGTGGGGTATTCATGTTAAACTGCGGCATGGTATCTGAGTGAGCTAGCACTATAAATCGGCATCAGTCCGGACTAGTACAAGCAGCCACACACACACGTGCATGCACCTCGCTATATAAGCACAATAATCTTTGACGCGACGTTAAACCCAATTTTCCCTCACCCCACAAACCATGGGATACACAAAACTCCGGACTAAGTGCTACTGCAACCCAACCATTTTGATTAATGCGGTTACCCTGTAACGTGTTCACTGCGCATAACCAATTTATTTTAAAACTAGAAATCAGGAAACCGTGGCTGTCTGAAATTTAGCTTTTCGACTCCTGCCAATATTTTTTATACCGTTTGTAAACTAAACTGATACACACATATTGAGGTCCAGTATTCTATATCTTTATATTTTAATATGAAGGTCCAATGGATCTGGCACATAACTCAAGCATGTGAAATCATAACGAAATGTATGGCTTGCTTGGGATCACAAAATTACTTCTGAATTATATTTTGCAGATAGCAAAAAGAAAACGATCTGTTTTGACAAGGCATGCGGTTCGAACATGATTCTCGAAGAACAAGGGAAGCGTGCAAGTCTGAAGCAAAGTAACCTCAGCGCACGCTGCTGCACAGATAGAGCGTTGGCTCCAGGGGAGGTAATCGACCTTCACATTTCTCCCAAAGATAACGCGAGCTGGACCTATGTCAAACTTTTCGTGTCTAACCTGAATGGAACCCAGCTACAGCTCCAAAAATTAGAAGTCAGTCCCGATTCGTCCCTCTACCCTCCAGAAGGAATAAAAGTGGACAAAAAGGGTACTATACAGATTCGACTTAGCGAGGCAGGGGAGATTGTCTACTCGGTGCAGACGAAGGAAACAAGGCAAGCCATAAGTGACCCTGGCCTTGACCTTAATCGACCCCTGTATCTCTACGTGGAACTCTTTCGTGTGAAGGTCGTAATTGAATCAACACTTCCAGAAGAAGGTGACTAATCTTGCCATTACGGATTGAGACTTGGTTGTAATGCAAAACTGATTGAGAACAATTTTTTAAAACAACTACTCTAAGGAATTAGTCCAAGAGTTAATATTGCCAAACGTACTATAAAACAATACGTAGCATATATACACCTGGAAATTAGGTTTGCACCTCTACATTATAATTCCATTTTCAATCGTATCATTGAATCGATTATTTTGTAACCGTTCCACGGCTACAGTTATTCGACTACCATTTCAATTGCTTCCCCATCTTCTGAAGGCAAGAGAGTTTCCAAATGGACTTTTTCAGTCAGTTAACTCCTTTGCCCCGGGAAGATGTTACCTCCACTGCAACTTGGCATCATAACCCAATCTTTGTGACCGTCCGGAGAAACGCAGTGTTCCTACACAAAATTTCCATCACGTATCGGAGGTAATCGGAGGCATTAACGGTCAATATGTTGATAGTTCAAACAATGCATGGAAGCACGGAATATGTGACAATGAAGGAGTGGTGCTCAGTATGTTTCCAGGTGTATTAAAGGCTAATGTGTTGGTGTGTTATACACGTGATTATTCCCAGTACGTCATTCTGTTCGTCAGAGGCATTATAACGAAATATTGGGTGGCGAGAACTGAGAAGTAATTATTTTTTGTAAAACAGAATAATTATCACAAATCAACCACTCATGATGCCTCGCAGTTGACGCTAGATATTTGGTTGTCATTGGTTGTTTAAGACCCAAATCCTTGACTGTCATTTCAGATGATACCTACCTCACTGCCTTGCGCCTGACAGAAGATAACCCATACCTGCAGCCTATTCCTGACCCCAGTGATACTCCACCCTGCACAGCAGGCGCAAGAGGATTTCCTAAAGTGCCATCCCTTATCAAAACTGATTTACCTGAACGGGAATACATTGAGATTCCTGACGTTACTGTGGACGCAAGACTACCAGACATCTTTCCCGACCCATCTCTGACGTTGCCAAAGCGCCACGATATAGTTGGAAACAGCAGGGTAGACCCTACACCCAACGCAAAAAATCAGCAACATGTGCAGAAACAAGGAGACAGTTTAGATAAACGGCCGCCCATCCCAGTCCCAAGGAAGGACCAGGGACAGTTTGGTGGAGGGGACACTGAAGCGAGTGGTCCAACCGCTGGTCATTGTTGTCCTCAAGGCCAACCAACAGGTGGCTCCTCTGGTCCTGAGAGCTGCGAACCTCCTCCTTCACCCATTCCTCAAGATGCTATGTCGTTTCAACTGATTGACAATCTCACGTCACATCTTGCACGAATTGGAGGACTGGGGCCAATAGATAACCAGAATGAACCCATTGGAGGTCCCGTCCCAGTTTCCTCGTTTGCCGAGAAGATCCGCACGAACTATGTTCAACTACTAGACAGACTTGAACCCGATCCAATTGCTGATCATTTGTTTCAGGGTGGAAATATATCAGACGCGGAACAATGTTCCTTCCATGAGATGAACAAGAAAGCAAAGAGTCGTTTTGTGTTACAGGTTCTTAAGACTCGGCCTAGCACAAAGGACAACTTTATCACCGCTTTGCGGCAGTCTGCTCAAAGAGATATCGTAGATTTACTTGGACTTGAGTAGTTGAGGGCCATCGTATTCTTTGCAATTTCATTGTCAAGAGGGCTGTTTCAATAAGTAGAGGTGTGGTGGCCTCGTGGTTAAAGCGTCCGTTCGTCACGCCTCAAATCCTGGTTTGATTCTGTGAAGCCCATTCTTAGGTGCCACATGGCGTGATATTGGAATATTCCTTGTGTCGGAAGACCTCTCCCTTATTTCCCACACAGCGCAAAAACATTATACAAAGTTGCATTTGCGACATACTTCAATCAAGATGACTCGATGAATATACTTAAAATGGATATAATAGCTTCATAATTGTCTGCAGGAGTACAACAGTGCGACGTTCTGTCTGTAAATTGCGGAATCACTGCAGAAATCCAATCATATCCCTTTTCACCACTATTCTGCCTTGTACGCCCAAAGGAATCGGCAATCGAGATTTTATATTTATCTTGTAGTGTCATCTTAACACTCACAGTCCCTTCCCATTGCAGTTAGACACCAGAACTAACCACATCATTGATCAGTATTAATAATCAATACCATATGTGATTCCTGTGTTATATATGGGACACGAATATTTTTTACATTTTATTTCTTGCGTATTTTTATTGCTGGCCTTTCAGCCAGGGAGGATCGAAATAAAAACCAAATACATTAGCGTATCTTAATAGTAAAATGATCAATTTGCTTTGCATTATATTAACCGCTTGTATGGACAGTTCATTGCCTATGGACGTATTCACCTTTAGAGACAGACATATGCAGTGGCAAGATACCTCAGTTGTGATTATTCAGTATTTGATATTAAAAACTAATTTCCTGACATCGGTTTCTCTATGTCTTATTTTCGTCCATCCAAAAGTTTGTTCCCAGGCTAATATTCAGTATAAATTTATTTAATTTTATTTTTGTCAGTGCCACAGCTCTGGTGTAAGGAGGAGCATTCCAAGTTGTGACGATAGTCTTGCCATTTTTGTTCCACGAAATGAATACCGAAACGTACTGGAATGTATGTTGAAAACTACAACCCAGATTCAGAGTGTTAAAATTTGTACTCAGACAGGAAAAGGATATATTTCGGTGCCTTGAGTATTGGTTCAGGCGAATTCTTTCGTGATAAGAACATGCCACTTTGTACGAAACAATTATTAAACAATTACGTTATGAATACAGATACCTCGCAACTTTACAAAAGTTATAACTCATGAATGCTTCTTAACTCATTATTTACGTTTATCGCATTCTGTCACAAACCCCAGAATCCTTGCCATGGTTTTACTGTTTTATAATGAGTAGGCGATTCTGTCACAACCCCGGAATAATTGCCACGGTTTTACTGTTTTATTATGTGTAGGCGATTCAGTCACAACCCCGGAAAAGTTGCCACGGTTTTACTGTTTTATTATGTGAAGGCGATTCTGTCACAACCCCGGAATAGTTGCCATGGTTTTGCTGTTTTATTATGTGTAGGCGATTCAGTCACAGCCTCGGAATAGTTGCCATGGGTTAATCGGCTCCTCTGTGTAGGTAATTCTGTCACTCATGCAGTGTGCACTGTCCTTTGAACGGAATAACCTACCGGGCAAAAGAAAGTATACACCAATGTAAGTAATCGAGTCTGGACCAGACAATCTAGTGACTGATATCATGAGCATCGATCTACGCAATTGGGATCGATCACATGCATCAACTACGTCAGCGAGCCTGACCACCCGATCTCGTTAGTGGACTCTAAGGACAAGCATAGATGCCTTTTACGGCAAACATGGGTTAATGAAGACCAATTCTACCCCGGATGCACACCTTTAGTAAACGGATTGGGAAAATAGGGACGCATCACAGAGATTCTTGTGTAGCTGGTTTTGTGTTAAGGCAGTGAGGGCACGAAGTAATCCTGCAGAGAGTTAGAGCTGGTTTTGTGTTAAGGCAGTGAGGGCACGAAGTAATCCTGCAGAGAGTTAGAGCTGGTTTTGTGTTAAGGCAGTGAGGGCACGAAGTAATCCTGCAGAGAGTTAGAGCTGGTTTTGTGTTAAGGCAGTGAGGGCACAAAGTAATCCTGCAGAGAGTTAGAGATGGTTTTGTGTTAAGGCAGTGAGGGCACGAAGTAATCCTGCAGAGAGTTAGAGCTGGTTTTGTGTTAAGGCAGTGAGGGCACGAAGTAATCCTGCAGAGAGTTAGAGCTGGTTTTGTGTTAAGGCAGTGAGGGCACGAAGTAATCCTGCAGGGAGTTAGAGCTGGTTTTGTGTTAAGGCAGTGAGGGCACGAAGTAATCCTGCAGAGAGTTAGAGATGGTTTTGTGTTAAGGCAGTGAGGGCACGAAGTAATCCTGCAGAGAGTTAGAGATGGTTTTGTGTTAAGGCAGTGAGGGCACGAAGTAATCCTGCATAGAGTTAGAAACAATAAAGAATCAGATGTCCATCTCTTCATTTTCTGCAAGCTTACAAGAGCCTCTAAGGGTCGACCACTATTTATATATAATACCATTATTATCGACCAAAAAACACTTGTCCCAGATAATACCTGAAAAAAATAATTATGCTTCAGACTGCTGAAAACAAAAGAAATTGTCTGCCACAAAATATACATGGGTGCAAGATATTTTAAAATATTTGTCAATTAAGGCTCATAGGTTCTGTCAAGAGATGTTATGCAGCTCCATATGAACAAATGTCCAATCCCCATACAAAAACTCGATTTGACGACGGTATAGAGAAATCTTTGGTTCTCGTTATCAAATGAAAGGAAGTGGCACATTATTATTCTCACCACAATTAACACCAGTAGAGGAGTTTGTTAGTTTTATGGACACAAACTGACGAGGTGTAGAGATGCCTCATTGTTGATTCATAGTCCATATATTAACACGGTATCATAAATCTCGTAATCCACACCCCCTGTCGGTTGTTTACGTATGCAAACCTTAGCGCGATATTCCATTCGTGACCAACTCGTGTCTTTCCGGGACAAGCCGAATAGCTTGCAGGTTACGGAAAGGGGCGAGTGGTGACGAATGCGCGATATTCCAGCGCCTGATCGAATACAGGATACGCCGTGGAATATCACGACTACTCGTAAGTAAATTTGTTCGTAACAGTTTCTGAAATGTTTTTGAATTGGCATTACCCTTCCTCCATTGGTGATTGGTTAAAAAAAAAAATTAGTTTGAACGACCTCCGGTGACCCAATATAGGTCATATGCGTACTGATTATGCCATTCGTGACCAACTCGTGTTATTCCGGGACAAGCCGAATAGCGACTCGTGCCCCTCTCGTGGCCATTTTTGCGACCGGGTTCCGTCTTAGCGCAAACGAGCATACCTAAAACAATTAGCAGCTCGTTGCGTAATGGTTCCCATATCTTTCCCCATATATTATATATATTTCAGGTGCAATTTAAAGCACATCGGGACATGCTAAATTATACAGTATGATTGAACACATTTAACTGTTCTTGGGTATGTTTTTAGATGCAAGACATATGTAAAATCTTCTTTGACGAAGAACTTGAAATCATACGCGCATTCTCATTGGTTTGTCGTATTTTCACACATAACATTCATCGATAGGGGGGACGAGTCTTCTTGCAGGTTACGGAAAGGGGCGAGTGGTGACGAATGTAATTATGCATAATTCATAACAGGAAGTGATGTACAACACATATTCCACACGTGTCACACCACAAAATGGCGATACCGCGATAATATAGTTGCCCGCCCTTGAGTCGCTAATGTCAGGTACTTAGTTTACCGATCTCGCTAAAGAATATCAGCAGCGATCAATCCTTATTGATGTGTCATAAAAGTTAACCAAATAACAAGAAATAATTAGCATATAACATATTTATAAGTAAGTAAGCGTCATTACGATCAATTATGAATAAACTTCCCCGATAGTATAGCTACATTCATAATTAAGGACGGGACCAATGCCCACCTAAACCTGAAATGGCACAGATTTGTACAACATCTTTTCAAAACTGCTGCCTGCGCCAATAAACAATATAACTAGTTTACCCCAATACAGTTGGCTCGTGTAAGGCATGCGTAACTGGGATATGATCTTCCAGAAGGAACTGTTTGGTTGTTGGTTTGTTTCTTGTTTAACGCCACACTAAGCAAAATTCGCGCTATATGATGGCGGCCTGAAAATAATCGCGTCTGGACCAGACAACCCAGTGATTGACATCATGAGCATCGATCCACGCAATTTGGATACGATGACATGCATCAACCACGCCAGCGAGCCTGACCACCCGGTCCCGTTAGTCGCCTCTTACGGCAAGCATGGGTTGCTGAACTGACTTCTGATAGTAAGTGAGCTGAAATGGAGTCTAACGTCGCGTCTAAGGGTATTGCACTTATAAAGCGATGTGAATGTGTGTGTGTGTGTGTGTGTGTGTGTGTGTGTGTGTGTGTGTCTGCTGGTACTAGTCTGGACTAATGCCGATTTTTTAGTGCTAGCCAACTAGCCAAAAGAGATATTTGCCGCAGTTCAACATGAATACCCCACTCAGACACAGTATACTGACTCCGAGCCGACCAGTCCTTGTTTTACCCCCTTGAAGCCGAGCGCCATGCGGGGTAACAGCAAGTACTATCTGTTAACCTCTTTAGGTATGACCCGGCCGGTGATCGAATCATGTAGGATTGGAACCCACGATCATAGGTTTCTGACACAACAAAGGGTGGCAACTCTTCACACAGAATTGCGGCGCCTTAGACGCCTTGACTATACATGCGCCCCGAGTCTAAAAAAACCTGTTATACGTTAATTATAGTGATTACAGGAGGCCTTGGGGAATAACGCGTCAACAATAAGGTCACATGTGAGGGAAATTTGTCGCGTGCACGTTACATCCGGGTTGAAGGTCCAAATTCAATGGGTGGTAGACAGAGAGCGGTCGCCATGCTCGGGGTGCTGTTTGTGGAGGCAATCACCAATACCGGCGACACTACTTTGGATTGCCAATAGCTGTGATATTAGTAGTGCATAAGCGGCCCTCATGGAGTGTCAACATCTGTGATATTACTTGCGTGGAAGGAATCCTATTGGGTCTCAATATATGTGATATTACTAGTGTACTATCATATAAACGGTCCACGGGGAGTGTCAACATCTATCACAATACGAGCGGGCTTGGAAGCGTTCTTCAGTAGGTTTTACCGTCAGTGACGCAGAAGAAGCGGCACTTGGAGCTGACAGAGACGGCCCCCAGATACCAGATCTCGTCATGGCGGGATCACATGTGATCCAGAGGAACAGTGAGTATTACTGTTTCACCATCTCATCAATTCCCCCCCCCCCCCCCGCCCCCCCCCCCGTGTCACCTTGCCGTGATGATAACCAAGGTAGATGCATGCATTCTGTCATAAATTTTATCAAGATAGATTTATACACCCGTGTTCCATTTTATATCAAGCAGATTTGGAAACGTGTTATAGTGTTTGTTAAGTCAGATTTAAGCATCTGTTTAATTGAGCAGTCGACAGTTTAAAGCGGCGTAAAACCATATTCACTCATGAGTCACTGTCTGCCCGTCACTAAACCCACGACCATACTGACTAATCTGAATAAGTATGAACCTTTGAATATTCGGGGGGAAACAAGGACCCATGCCCTGAGTGAAATCTATCCTTGACAAACAGTTTGTTGAGTCTGTAAGGGCCGTGGATCTGACATAAATACATAATCTGGGCCTTGAACTCAAAATCAAACATCAAAATACCAGTATACTGAAGTGATAAGGTATGGGATCCATCATGTTAATAAATGACCCACATCAATAGAACTATGACATGGGGCTGCCCCAAGTATATTTAGATCCTTGTCATGTTGCTAGGTCGTCGTTAGGCACAATGAACGAGACACTGTAATGGGTATTCTTATAACGACCGATATATTTAACAAAGAATGTGGCCACTGTAACTTACTTCGTAAGGTGATCACACGGATCTTGTCGACAACATGATATATATATATATATATATATATATATTCCCACATTCTCCTGTATACCTTATCCGGAAATCATAATAATGTCATCACTTTGTTTTATGGATTTTCATGTTTGGTTTTCAAAGAAGCCATTTGAGTGGAAATCTTTTTTCAATATCATTGCAGCAGATGTATTTCAATTCACCGACAAGCCTGGACAGAACGTGCGCTTGGCGAATGGTAAGACGTCAGCGCTGTGGTTCCAGCGTTGTTTCGACGGCAAGTGTTTCGTCACGGAACCTCTCTCCAGAGGAGGACGTCTAACACTGGAACTGTCCGGGAGTGGCGCCCTGCTTCTTGGTCTCCTCAACAGACGCCCAACAAAGTCCGAAGTCCGTGATGTTGAGAACAAGCTATCACCAAACTGTGTCTATTTGCAGGAGTACGACATGCACAAACAGAAGAAGTTTACAGTGTCACTTTCTCGCGAGACTTCTCGAGAAGTAAAACTAAAAAATGATGTCGAAACAAGAACCCTTGAGATCAAGAACGGACATATTTTTCTTGCCTTTGAGCTCCTGTTTGGGGACTTTGTAATGGAGCTCCTGTCAGGTGAATGTTATTTTATGTCGGTGATGGTTATATTTGTTTGTTTGTTGTGTAACAACCCCCCCCCCCCCCCCCCCCCCCCCCCCCCCAGCAATATGCCAGCTATATTACGGCGGTCATAAACCCCCTGGTGAAAATCCGGGTTGGAATAGGTCTTCAGCAACCACTGTTTGTCGTAAGAGGCCACAAACGGGATCGGGTGGTCAGGCTCGTTGACTTGGTTGATGCAATTCATGGTATCCCAATTGCGTGGATCAAATGCTCATGATGTAAATCACTGGATTGTCCGGGCCAGACGTGATTATTTACAGACCGCCGTCATATAGCTGGAATATTGCTGAGTGCGGCGTTGAACAACAAACAAACAAACAAACCATTCCCGTGCTCGTTTTTTTCATTAAATATGTGTACAGCCTTCGTGAATATTTCAGTAAGACGCCGTGACGTCGGAAAATAAATTACGTTAATTTCCATTCTACCATGACTAAAAACTATTTTTTTCTTGCGCATTTACAGACTGTCGTCATATAGCTGGCATATTGCTGTGAGCGGCGTTAAACAACAAACAAACAAACAAAACTTTTATGATTAGTCCTCAGTATGTATGCAGAAACTAAATTGTTATTTGAAAATCAAGGCTGACGGTTACTTTGGTTAAGTGTCAATCTTGTTGACATTTGAAACTGCTGACTACATATGCATGGTACCAATTGTAATGTTTAGTTTAATACAGGCTAGAAATACTGACAGGCTCCGTGCTCTAGGGGAAGAGCGAAGAGCGCAAGGTCGGTGGTTTGGTCCCCTGCTCGCGTTTTACCAAAGACGTTTAAAGATGGTACTTGTTGTTACCATGACTGACGCTCGGCATTAAGCGAATACAACACGATCTGGTCGTGTTTTGTGTGAGGCAGCCAGTTGGCTGGCACTATAAAACCTGTATTAGTTTGGACCAGAATAAGCAGTCACGCACGCAGTCACGCCTCTATGAAAATGCAATATACCTAAAACGCAATGTTAAACGTCATTTCACCTCACACGTCCTTTTTTGGGTCCGCCAGATTGTCATGATTTGACAAATCGAAAGAACCATTTTGTTCAAACAAATGCAGAGTAGCTTTTATTCATGTCAAGACTTGCACGTTTTGAATATTTTGAACAGGAGCTAGTCTTTCACCTAAAAGTGCGAAGTGAGGTAAAAAGTCTTTCTTTGATTCAGGTCTTGAAGGTACAAGTAAACTGTACTCCTAAGCGTCGCTCATTTTTGCCATACTTCTGAATTTGACATAAGACAAATCCGTGTAAGCCAAAAAGGATAACGGGCATGTTTGTTACTATTTCACAACATTCCAATGATAACCCCCCCCCCCACACACACACACACACACACAAAAGCCCCCAAATACTTCGTCCTTAACACAGTATGACATTAACCATTTGAATTTTCAGATGATGGGAGGAATTATAAATTTGACGCTGTTTGCGGCCCAAACATACGGTACCCATCACGAAGCTGTACATCTGTTTGTCTTCAGAATGCATATGGAGACACACTGTGCTCAGCCAGTCGAGCTGTTGAGAAAAGGGAGACAATCCATCTCATCTTCAATCCTGTTGATGAGGCAAAATGGTGTCATATGATCACGTATCTATCAAATAGGAGTCCTGCAATGATGGATGCAAATAATATGAAGATGGGACTTAGATCTCGCATGAAATTCAAATTGCGTGGGTCTGTCCAACTTTGCTTTCAAGATGGCGGCGTTCCTAGTTATGCCTTCAATGGAAGGAAAAAACGGGCTGATGTTAGCGACCTTGACCTTTCCGCTCCCCTCTTTCTCTACATGCAACTTTTTAGAGTACGAGTTGACCTCCATACAGGTAAATATGCAAATTCTAAGGTCAGGTAGGTACTACTTTCAGTGTTTAAAACATATATTGCGTAGCTCTTGTCTATCGGCGATCAAGTCAGAATTGACAATCCAGAACCTGGACAAATTACTAGGATCAATGAAATCATTATCAAATAATGGTCTAAGACACCCAAATCGGTGTCTAAGAGTGGCGTAGCTGAGGCATTTCACAACTGAGGCAACTTTGGAGATATTAATTGAGAAACAATTTAGCGACCACGTTCGGAATATCAGTTCCCAGACACATAGCTCTGAGGCTTGGGGTCTATTCCCGAACAGTTGGATTTGGCCGAAATATATCCGAAGGTTTTCCATATTCCAATTTTTCGCTCTGTGGGATGTTTTTCTGTGTTTCGTAATCCTGTTACGAAACGTTATGACAGGTCTGGGAAGCTCTTAACAAACATGACGTTTCAGAGTCTAGAGTAGCTTTCCTTTGATAAATATAGAATACTGAACGAGCTCCCGTGTAATACCAATTTTATGAAACGAGTGAATAGTTCTGGTATCTGACGAGCGAAAGCGAGTCAGATACCACAACTATTCACGAGTTTCATAAAATTGGTTTTACACGGGAGCGAGTATAGTATTTTATTTATTACTTGCCATTTATAACGTTTTTAGAATTATACTGTTGAGTGTGAATGGGCTGACACCTACACGATCAACGGCATAATCCAACTGAGTTTAACACAATAATACTTTAAATACGTCAAAAGATGAAACGTATGAATTTAATACCATCGAACGGTCCACCTTTAGACTTCAGGCGTCCGTTCAACAAAAAATATCGTAGCGTAAGGTTATCGCAACTCATATACTTTAACTTAGACCAACGACTGTCATTGCGCAACCGTACGATCGCCTTGTGGAACGGGGCCTTGCACCTCAAAGTTTACATTCACGTCACAATACCGATGACGTAATTTGTGGAATGTTGTTGCAAGATCCTTCGGCGAAACAATGCCATGTGACGTCAACCTAGCAACAAGGTTGCTGGGGTCATCGTGTGTGCATAAGCTCCTCTCAGTGATCTATCATCTCCGCTCGCAATGTCGTTGAATAAGCCAAGGGATGTTGAGAGCTATCAATATTTGTTCGTGTAACGTGTTCCGAGAGTACATAAGCACGCGTTTTGGTATTACACAATGTGTAATAAAGCTGTATGTTTATTAAATGGGTGATCTCTTCACGGGCAAGTAATAAAGGACAATTACTCCAGCAGGCGGACTGATGGATTCCCGATACTGATAAAGTTGAAACATATCTGTAGTAAACTGTCATTTTGCCCATATTTTGTCCGACGAAACAGATTTCATTGGACGTAAAATGCAAAATAGCGGTGAAACTTATATAAATGGATAACTGAAAATCATTGAAAAGTTTCTGCTGGAACTATATTGATTGCTGTCCGACTCCTAACAGGGTCTACATATGACGTAATGTATTAATGCGCACATTCCAGGAACACTTGCAATGTTAATATACCGTTTTGAGAGATAAAAATAATTATTTTGATAATAGAATTTTAGTGTGGCATTATGTGTTACAGCGGTTATGACGCTCGTGTGTTTTGCGATGGTAAATATCATGTACTAGTTGCCAATGCTCGCTAAATACAATGTTTATTTCGTAAACAGGATATTTACCATCCGAAATTACTCTCGCGTGATAGCCTCTATTCTTGCCGTGGTAACAATATACAGTCTCCTCAAGGCGGGACGGCCTCAGTGGCGTAGTGGAGGAGAGCGTCTGCCGGGAGAACGATAGATATAGCGGAATGGAGGTGGTTTGATCCTCTGACCGCGTCATACTAAATAGAGAATCTCACCCGAGTGTCTTTTGATATCAAATATATCAACACGAGTTGATAAAAGTGGAAAAATTCCGAGGCTTGACGAGGATTTTTGCCACTTTTATCAACGAGTGTTGATATATTTGATGTCAAAAGACACGAGGGTGAGATTTTATTTATCATCCAACATCATTCTTCCAACTTTTTCAATTTGGAGACAGTAATTAGCAGTGTCTTCAGTGTAAAAAGTACTGCTAACAGCTTCAGTAGCAGAGCCATTAGTGATGTAATTTGATTGTGACGTCATGGTAACCAGTGATGTCACAATGGTCTGCAAAGCATTGTGATGTAATTTCATTGCAGCGATATCTACAGTGTAGATATCGCTTGATCTCATCCAAGCGATATCTCTTGTGGGAGCCAGTTTTGGATGATAAATGACGTTTCAGGATGGTACTTGTTGTTACCCTCGGCATTAAGGGGCTAAAACAAGGACTGGTCGGCTCGGAGTCAATACAAGTCTGAGTGGGGTATTCATGTTAAACTGCGACATTTTATCTCAGTGGGCTATCACTATAAAGCCGGCACAGGCACGCACAAATGCAAGCAGCGATAAATACGTGAGTGCACTTGCATGATGTATTAGTGAAATAATCTTTAACGCGACGTAAAACGCCATTTCAGTTCATCTCACTTAATCCTGGTGGCATGTCAGACGTCGAGCCCGGACAACACAAACCTATGGTAGATAGTATCAGCGGTGATCCAAGCTCCCGTCGTATATAACACATCAACCAGGGTACAGCTTATTTGGTGTTCAATATTGAGGTACATTATAGTAGATTTGAATTTCTGCGACCAAGTGTTTGCTGGTCGGGTTTCTCGGCTTCGAAATAATCCGATATTTAATATTACCGATATTGTCATCAACGATCCACGCCTCAAGGTATAACACGCAGTCAACCAAGTCACCTAGCCTGACCACCCGATTCATTTGGTCGCCTCTTACGACCAGCATAGGTTGCTGGAGACCTATTCCAACCCGGTCAGATCTGTGAAGTCTTGATTATGCACAAATACATTCCTGCTCGGTGATGAAATTTGTTGACGTAGTTTTCATTATATGTAACTTTTATCGACAAATTAGAATCGAATATGAAAATTTTGTTCATAATATTCACTTATTCAATATTTGATCCAAGCAAGAAAAATATTACGCTGGTGGCAGAACAGGAATTCTTACAGTTGGCCCATTTACGATGTCGTGCGGCCATTTTAATCTTAATTCTTAACTGCCCGTTTTCGTTCGTTTTCGATACACAGAAATCTGATATGCTGCTCGTACAGAAGAATATATGCATCATCAGATTGGTTGATTAGAAAATTCAGCCGATGTGACCTACTATTTATGGTTTGTTTCGTTCCAGAGAAAGCAGAATTTTATTATTATTTCTTTTTCAGCTCGGCCAATCTCATTTGGACCGACAAGATGTGTCATCGATGGTGCTGACAATAGATCTGGAGATGGTCCACTACCACGCGAATTGCCAAGATCTGTCATCGATGGTGCTGACAATAGATCTGGAGATGGTCCACTACCACGCGAATTGCCAAGATCTGACATCGATGGTGCTGACAATAGATCTGGAGATGGTCCACTACCACGCGAATTGCCAAGATCTGTCATCGATGGTGCTGACAATAGATCTGGAGATGGTCCACTACCACGCGAATTGCCAAGATCTGTCATCGATGGTGCTGACAATAGATCTGGAGATGGTCCACTACCACGCGAATTGCCAAGATCTGTCATCGATGGTGCTGACAATAGATCTGGAGATGGTCCACTACCACGCGAATTGCCAAGATCTGTCATCGATGGTGCTCATGCTCGACCTGCGGCAGGCGCTGGTTCCTCAGAGTGTCTGATGACAAAGAAGTCGTTTTCGAACTTGATACAAAGCAATTACGTTTATCTGCAAGAAATCCTTGATCCAGGCCCTTTGGCGGATCATCTTTTAGCGGGTCATAAAATGTCCCCCACACAAGCAGAAGAGATCCTGGAATTGCCGACTAGGAGGAAGAAGTGTGAAAAAGTTCTTCACATCCTCATGAAAGTCCCTGACACTGAGGAGACATTTGTAAGAGCCATGGGATATCCACAGCACCCCCAGAAACACATTCTATTTAAACTCGGTTTGTTGGAAGGGGCTAGTTCCCGCGATTGTGAAACGTAAGCTCCATGAAAATGTAATTCCGACCTCCTGCAGAGATGGCGGATCCACGGATTTTACAAAGGGTGTTGCTGGTTATTCTCATCTTCTTTGTGTGTTAGGGGAGGTGTTCAAATGTAAACCTTTTACATTACGACCCTCGGTTGTGTGGGTGTCATATCTAGAATCATATATTATCCTTCTTTGAGCGTGCGTGTGTCGGGTTTGGGGAATGCTACACGCCAATCAGACAATTATGTACATATGCATTTCCATAATACGATGGTATCTTCGGGCAGAACATCACTGTGGCCCCTGACTTTCCCACCACTTGGTTTCGCCGCTTTGTTTTGTTGTTGTTTTACGCCGCACACAGCAGTATTCCAGCTACATGACGGCGGTCTGTAAATAATGAAGTCTGGACCAGACAATCCAGCGATTGATGTCATGAGCATCGATCCACGTAAATGGGATCAATGGCATGCATAAACCACGTCAGTGAGCCTGACAACCTGATCTCGTTAGTCGCCTCTGACGACAAACATAGTTGCCTTTTACGGCAAGCATGGGTTGAAGAAGACCTATTCTACCCCGATCTTCACGGGTTGGTTTCGGCGCTCAGCAGCACCCTGGTTGATGAGTAATGTTTAAGCCCCTATAATCAGATTTTGTCTTGACCCTGATGAAGGGCAAGAAGAAACTATGAAACGTTGTGTGTGTATAATACAAAAAGTGGTCATCCTTAATACTCCGTGTCATAACTAATCTTGGGTACTGAGCAATGGCCTTTGTATACATGTAGAAGTTTCAAACGATTATCGCCCAGTCGTCTAAGGCGCCACAATTCGATGTGCAGTGTTGCGTACCATGGGCACGCCAGAAATCTATGATGCAGGGATCGAATCCAGGTTCGCCCTGATTATGTTTCTAGGCACAGACACAAACAGACAGACAGACAGACACTCACACTACATGCAGGCGCCGCGATAAATTGTGCAGAGTTGCCTCCTTTGGGCACACCAGAAACCTATGATTGTTGGTTCGAATCTCGGTTCGCCCTGATTATGTTTCTAGGTTTTTTACATCAAGCTGACACGCCGTGATATGACTTGAAAACAGATCAAATCGGCGTTAAACCCGACGATGAAGTAAAATTCTCGAAGTCGATTGGTCAGATTAACAAAGATCAATTTCCACTGGACGACGGGACTACTTTTCATGTATCAGTCCCAAAAAGACACTGTAACAGCAATCGTATTTTTCAAATTGTGGCTATTTTGTTAAGTAGTGAGTGAGTATATTTTTACGCCGCTTTTAGCAATATTCCAGCAATATCACGGCGGGGGACACCATAAATGGGCTTCACACATTGTACCTATGTCGGGGATCGAACCCGGGTCTTCGGCGTGACGAGCGAAGGCTTTAACCACTGGGCTACCCGACCGCCCCTAATTTGTTAAGGAAGATAACTTATGGATGTCAACTTCTTTATTATGAGGAACACAACGTTTCGGAGTATATACCTACTCCTTCATCAGGTGAATGAATGCAATGAGTCAGAGAGCATATAAATGTACATGTAAGAACAACAAAAGTAATAAGATAACAAAAGGTGGAAACTTAAAAAGGGAAGCCAACAGATAATTGTCGCCGATAGGTGATTAGCAATAGACAAGGTAAGCTAACATTTTACAATTATTAGAGCTGATAATTATGGACAACTGGAAGCCAGGACTAAATTATAACTGATTGGTAATTGACAATGGAGCAATGGACAAACGGGAGGCCGGGGGTAATTGGCACTGGTAGGTAAACGGGAGGCCGGGGGTAATTGGCACTGGTAGGTAAACGGGAGGCCGGGGGTAATTGGCACTGGTAGGTAAAAGAATAGAAATAGCAAAGGGCAAATCCTCGCTGTGATCCTCATAATAAAGAAGTTGACATCCATAAATTATCTCCCTTATGTGTATCACTTATAAATGCCTTTCAAGGAAGTTTATGTTTTTAGTTTATGTATTTTTTCTCACGTTGTTGTTTTGGGGTTGTTGTTGTTGTTTTTATTTCTAACGACACATGAAACGAATGACAGGTTTTTCCGTGTTTCCTCTTCTTTATGTAAAATGCATGTCTATGCTCGACAGCTGCTGTCTGTCAATGACGATATCTTGCATTTCAAAACAAGCCTTGATTAAAACAAGCCTGTTGATTTTGTTTGTTTGTTTGTTTGTTGTTTAATGCCGCACTCAGCAATATGACGGCGGTTTGTAAAATAATCTAGTCTGGACCAGGCAATCCAGTGATTGACATCATGAGCATCGACAAACCTGTTGAACATCTTTTGAAACGTGTATTGTTCTACACATGATAGATCAATCAGACAGAAATATTAATGCAATTATGTGATCTTTAAAGGTTTTGACAGCACTACATTTATCACCCGTGACAACATGTTGGTGAAAAGCGTTTGGAGAGAGGGGGCAGTCTTTTTCACACGCAGAAAAATATAACACAGCTGATTCTTATGGAATACTGTAAGGGACATTCTCGCGATCTCGCATTCTCGCGATCTCGACCTTTGGAAACGAGGTAAATATGCCCAAACACGAGAATGCGAGATCGCGAGAACGCGAGGTTTGGCCAAAATCTCGCGTTTTCGCGATCTCGCATTCTCGTGTTTTTGGTACATAGCACTTTTTGTCAAAAGTCGACAACGCGAGAATGCGACATTTGGACATGATGCAAAATCTCGCAATCTCGCAATCTCGACTTGTCAAATTAGGCCACAAAATAACGAAATCGCGAGAACGCGAGAATGCGACATTTCATTTTCTCGCGATCTCGCGTTCTCGTGTTCTCGCGTTTTAGACGCTGTCCGTGCGCATGCGTAATATCATAAGGTCAAGCGCATGCGCACGTTAGTAGTCCTTTGGTCATGCTTCTTTCATGCTCTTCATTCTCCAAGTAGTATTTAGCAAACTTATGACTTGAGCTTGAAAATGCTATGTAATTTACATACACAAAGTCTGAGTCATCTCCCGTTGTTACAGTTTCCTATGTACTTTATAATACAACCATAAACATGCTCAATATAATTTAACAAAAGAAATTGTGTCTATGAATGTCCAATGATGGTGAAAACATAAATGTGTCCCAAAGCTGGAAACAAAACTATTACCGTCAGTGAGTGAGTGAATAATATTGCTTAAAGCCGCATCAGCAGTATTTCAGCTATTCGCGGCTACACTGTCAGTTACAGAAATAATCACAAGCCAGTGAGTTTCTCAATGAGGCAATTTTGTACACGGCTAGAATATTCATTAAAATAAAATTCTCACAGACCAATTTGTAGCATTCGGATAAAATGATATTGTCCGATGTTGTTTTGTTGTTGTTTTTTATACGATACCATATTCGCTACTTTAATTAATAGATTTTCATCCGCTCCCGCCTGACAACAAAACATCCTGCCTTACATTATTCTACACGTAGCCCTACTGAGCACACATGATGCATGCGAATCGCATCCGCCGACAGCAATTGTACACATATACCTAAAGTAGGTCGATAAGAACAAATTAAAAACGTTAAAATAAAATGCCTCCTGTCTCCCATGTTTTTAAAAAATCAATCAAACTGTAACTATTAATTTTTTTGCGGCCTTAACATTCAAATGACAGGCATGCTTATACTGGAAAAGTACCCCCAATATCCAGTCTGGGGGACCAGCATGACTCTGAATAAGTGAGTGAGTTTGGCTTAACACTGCTTTGAACAGTGTGTATATTTTAGTTATATCCCGGCTTGTCGGATTAAAGGGGCACTAATCTTCTTCTCGGCTGTCTAACACTGCCAGCTGGGGCTCACCATCTGCCGATATGCTCACTGACGCAACTGAGCGTGACAAGAGACTGGACTACCGTGTTCAAGAACATTGATTGGTTACCTGTAGTCTCTGAATCTCAGACAAAGGGCGCATGTTAATTAATTTCTTCAGCCTAAACAAACGGACAAAAAGAACGATGGAAGCTCATCAGATGTCGTTATTTGGAAATACCCCAGATGGTTATAAACTGAGGGCCACAAGAAACGTTACCAACATTAACTGATTTGCCACTTTGAAACAAAGATGCCAACCTGTTCAAAAACAGTAAAGAACACATTTCACGAATACAGCCTTCATGTTCTCTGTCGTTCTTTGCACGTGCTTTGCGGATTTTGGGAAATATTGGTGTTTTTCAGCAATTCTTTAAAACAATCTTCCCCAAATTATCGTGCAATTTCCGGGTATAAATTACGCAGGGATCTGTTCCCTATCAGTGGTTGCGATGATTAACACCAATGAACATGCCAAGACTGACCGCTGTCCAGAAGGAGAGAGCCATAGGTGTGCTGCAGATGGGTGCGACACAGAGAGCGGTTGCCATTAACATGAACTGCTCCAAGATGACCATTACCAGACTGGTCTCACGTCTCCGACAGACTGGCAGAACCGCAGACAGACCACGGAGTGGCAGACCATAGGTCACGACCCCGCAGGATGAACGCTTTTTACGGGTACGTCATCTGAGGAACAGATTTCTTACTGTGACGTCATCAGATGCCAACAGCTTAGGACATCCGGCCAGCAGACAAACAGTGACCAGACGACTACGACATTATGGTCTCCGGGCTTATCGCCCTTTCAAAGGCATGACCTTGACCCGTCAACATCGACGTGCCAGATTGACGTGGTGCAGACAACTCAGCGATGGCAACAAAGGGAATGGCGGCGAGTGCTGTTTAGTGACGAGAGCAGGTTCCAACTCTTCAAACCTGATGGGCGGACGCGAGTGTATCGACGACGTGGTGAACGTACGGCTCCTTGTTGTGTCCAGGAGGTGGAACCTTTAGGGGGCGGAAGTGTGATGGTCTGGGGCGACATTTGCGGAGACGAGAAGACGGAACTTGTCATCATCGAAGGCAATCTGACAGCACAACGCTACATTGACAATATCTTACGGCCAGTGGTTCTTCCTTTCACCCAGCGTCAACAACGGACGGTGTTCCAACAAGATAACGCCACACCCCATAAAGCCCGTATTACTAGAGACTTCCTCAACGCCAACAACGTGACTGTCCTGCCGTGGCCAGCTCGAACAACAGATCTGTCACCCACAGAACATCTCTGGGACCAGCTGGGGCGTCGTCTTCGGAAACGTCAACATCCTCCCTTCACGAGACAAGCGTTGATGGTTGCCCTCCGTGAGGAATGGAATCGGATACCTGCAGTCGATGTGAGGACGCTTGTCTACTCAGTGCGACGCCGCATTCGAAAATGCATTGCCGCTCATTAAGGTCATATCCCGTATTGAACGGTCTGGGCCGTCGTCACATTAAAGTTGTAACCAATGTTGTTGATCGAATACTGGACGAATGACCCCTTGTCAAGAAATGTCCCTGTTGGAGGTCAAGGACTTTGTTGTTGAATTAGTAAATTCGCATTTTACTGTTCTGAATTATATATTTCTACAATACAATTGTTATTGCTGCTTCAATTTGATTTGGTCATATTTTATCCTAGAAATATCGTTGGTAACGTTTCTTTTGGCCGTCAGTTTATTTTTATAGTATCCGAGCAGTGAAAGCATTTTCGGATTTTGGATTGCGCGGATAATACGATTGCTATCTCTTGTTGTCATCCACGTTTTGGGGCTTAACCCTACACCTGTGTCTTTGTTGCCATTCACTAGAAGCTCAGTTAATGAACCTATTACAGGTATAGTTAGTAGTAGCACTACTCAGATTACCTGACAACGGTTCCCATTTGGCATGTCTTGTGTCTGGGGTAATTATTTCATCTGAATCCAGGTTTGAATTGAGGTGAAATGTTGTTATGTAATATTCACGTGGCAGCCAAGCAAGAGGAGTGATCAGTTCATTTACTTTTTTGTACACGGATCATTCCTCGCCATCAAAAGTTCCACAGAAAATACGTTCATTGATTAATCACTGTTATCTTGCATAGTGGATTTGTAAGTGTTTACATGTGTAGGTTTACTAAAGCAGACAGAATACACTCATATCATGGCGTGAAGTGCCGATGTAAAAACAACATACTTGGTTCAAAGGATTAGCCGATAATACGTTTATTGATTGTTCATTGCTTTCTAACTCCATGGATATTTTTAAAGCACCATGGACATCATGAACATAATTGTCACACGTGCTATCTTAGCTGACCGATGAGACTTGCCACCTTTGTAAAAACATCTGAAAGAAACTTAGTGATCAGTTGCAAAACGAACACGGGTTATAATATCCAGAAACGCTCTATGTATATATTTTAACATTTGAATGTAACAGAGCCATGTGACGTCGAATAAGTTTATTTGTACAGCTGCAGACGTATGGGATATTGTTCCTGT